CAGGGACGCACATTTCCCCACACATCTGAAGTGTTATCGCTAAAGCAGTACTTTCAGCACCTTCAGCAGAACGCACTGACCAGTGCTCGCGGGAGAACTATGGACGGAAGTCACTTGAGTTTCAGCTTCACGTGAAGTCATACACAACAATGATGGTACTGAATTATTGAAAGTAATCAATACATTCTGATCATTTTGCGACGAACACAATCTCTCTTTAGGCCCATATTTCAACAAATAAGAGAAACATGATTCACAATCAACTGCACAAACATTCTGTGTTTAATTAATTGTTTTAACTATTTGACAGCCCTACTAAGAAGGGGGGCTTTGAGTTAAGTCACAGTTTCATTAATTTATATATCTTAAATTTCCCATATCCTACGATTTTCTTGTGTTTTTCCGCTCTGAGATCCACTTATAACATTTGTGTGGTTTTATGCACCAAAATCACAGGCAAGGCAAGTTTACTCATATAGAACTTTTCATTCACTGCTGTCATTCAAAGTGCTTTACAAATAATAAAATACAGTTGTTTAAAAAAGTAAAGAGGAATAGAAATTAAAAACAAGCTTAAAACATGATTAAAACAATAGATTTAAAAGAGAAAATCAAAAAATTAAAAAATCAACCTAGAAATTAAATTAGAAGATAAATTAGAAAAAAAGTGAGGGGGCTAGAAAGGCCAACAGTGTTTTAAATAGTGCTGAAAGCTGCTGAAATAGGACCGTTTTGAGCCTGGATTTAAAAATGTCTAGTGTGCGCTGAGAACAGAGTAAAAGTAAGCTCTATATAAATGGTATAAGGTTAAAAGGTGGTCTGAGAGCAGGATGTGGATGAAGTTGTGCAAACTGAAGCTAGCTAGCTAACCTTAAGGCGTCGTGAGATTAGAGGCTCCGAATCCAACGTTTCATGCATTTATAGTCTCCATCTATTGCTAGGCAGGTTAGGTTAGCTAGCCAGCTAGCACGTTACGGCTCATTTCAGTAATACTAAGTAATACTAAGTGGATATAGCTAAACTGAGCAACCTTTGAAATGCAGGGTGTTGTGCAGTTTAAATGTTTAAAAGTTTGCTGCTACAGCTGCATTTACCACTTTCTTTTGGAGGTTTCTCATCCATCTGATGGCTAGTTGTGCTGTTTGCTTTCATAGCTAGCGATGAGAGTTTGGCACTGCATTCAAAGTTATTATAACCCCGCCCACTCCGTGTTCCGATTGGTTGCCTCACAGAACCAGTCATATCTAATATTCGTTTTGAAAATAAATAAAACTCCAATGAGCTTCTTCTAATGCTCTCTGTCATCTGGTTCCATTTAAGAGCAGCAAACTAGCTAATCGTCCATTTTTGTATGACCATTGTCCAGCACCTTTTTATTTCTTAAGTTAAGCAGGCTGTTTTTGTTACTGTACCTTTAAGACCGACATAAGATAAATGAGCTCTGTTCTGATTGGCTGTCCTGTATTGTGCTTCATTCAGAAAGCACTCAGAGCTGAAACACTCCTTATAACTTCAGTGTAAAAGGGGCGGAGCTAAACTGCTGTAGGCAGAGCAGGTGAATATATGAAAGATTCATCTTTTCATGACATCATAAAAACAATGAATGCAAAAGAGGCTGTTTTGGAAGCTTCATTTCATATGCAGACTTTATGGACTGGGGAGTAAATGATAGGTTTTTGCAATGTTTACGTACTACATCATACTCTGTTATTCTGAAAATTTGTTTTTCCAACCATTTTATCAGTGAATGTGCTTACATGCACTTAATAGTCCGATAACTGCAGAAAATCAGATTTTGTCAGCAATCCGATCAACACATTTACATGCACTTGAGTAATCAGATAATAGGAAAACTCCAGGTCTACATGAGTCAGGCAGTAATTAGATTTCTGCTTTGCAACCAGCCAATACACTCACAGAAGAAGACGTGATGTAAACGTAATATTAAACTCAAACTTCATGCCGCAGCTTCCTTTTTTTAAACACGGCGCCACTTTACCTGAAAAAATTAACATACATCATCTAGAAGATGAAGAATATTTAAATCCTTCATTTTATCAAGCATGTATTTGGTTTCAGTGTCACTCCAAAAGTGTTTTGATGCGTCTCGTGGCGACGCTGTTCGCTTATTTCTGGTACTGTCGTCTGTTTTCACACATGTGCAGACTGAGAAATCCGAAAGAAATCAGAGTAAGAGTTTACAGGCACTGAGAAATCTGATTACTGAGCTAAAATCCAGCCTCTTTATCAGACTTCTTAACCGGATTTCTAGGCCTTACTCCAATATAAGACATCAGAGTGTGGTTTACATGACTATTTGAAAAATCAGATGACTGCAGAAATTTGATTATGATGAGACTACTGAGTGCATGTAAACACACTAATTGTAATTTTCTTCTACTTTCTTTCTTCACTCATTTTTCTCTCCATATTAATTTTAAACTGCATTGATTTCAAACGAACAGTTCTATAACATCTAAAGCTTCGTTGTGATTTATTCAAAGTAAATTATCAAAACATACCACATAAATAAAGCCGAGCTGAGAGATGAACTCTCCTCAGTGCTTTTGACTTTGCGGGTGGCGGCGCTGCAGGAAGCGCATTCCTCCAAGGCCGTGTTTGACTGTCTGACATTCCTCTCTCCAGGCTTTTCCTTCTGTCCTGATGTGTTACACAAATTACTGAATGTCCTCCCTCCCAGCCCAGCCTCTCATCTGTAATCCCTGCCCTAAGTCCAGCACCACCTCATAAAGATTAGCACTTTCTAGGACACTTTCTTTGCTAATTGCTTTGATTAGCAACCTCCAGTTCAGTTGAATTAAATTACATCTATCCTTCAGTGTTAAGCCAAGCCCATAGCTCCCAGGGATTGCTCCTAAATTGCAATTACCGACTGCCCCGGGGCACTGCTGAATAAGGCATAACGCCAGATCTGTCCCAATCAATATCCAGTGGACTGATGGGTCATGGAATGTGTTGAATAAATGTGACTGTGGAACAACTTCATCTGGTCATTGTATGGGTGGTGTTATGGATACACTGCGGTTTGACAACAAGTCCTTTGCGCAGAGGTACTCTCTAATGCTAGGCCAACATCTCTGATACCAAACCAAGGGACCAACTCAGAAGCTTAGCTCCATGTCTCATCTCCTGGTGTGAAGGCCTAACGGCTGGGCTCTTAAGACTACTTGCTAGCCAAGCTTGCATAACTTTTACAATATTAGCGGATATCCAGTATGCTAACCATAGACAATGCTAACTGCAGCACGACACTGTTTTCAGTGATCAAACAAGCGTTTGAGGCAATTTCAGATGCATGCATGCAAGCAAGTTATGACAATAGTCTTCACCAGTGTGTGAAATAGCCCCTTGTATTCAGGGGGTCCCATGTTGGCGCACTAATCCAGGGTTGTCTGGCTGCTCACTCGCCAGCACCGCCGATGCTTCAATGGCTACAAAATCTTTGGTTTAATAATTCATCTTCTGGAAATGCTCTTTTCTATGTGCGCTCCTCCACACATTAACTGAGATCTTACTCATCTCCTCTTCTGTCTTTGGTTTGATAAATGAGTAACAATTCACTCTTTCCATCAGTCTATTGGAAAAACTGGGCAAGTTTTCAGATTTACAAAATGTTTATGGCATACTGCAAAGTTTTTCAGAGGTATCCCAGGTGTAGTTACAGTTGCTAGGTTATAAAAGACCAACTGGGTGAACCAATTTGCCACAGCCCCACACTGAGGCCGAACAGTGCAGCATCTCTAGTTAGTCAAGAATACCAAAGGCAGAAGCTTGCAGATTGTGGGTGAAGCAGGATGAACAATGGCAGCATAATAACAGGGGCAGTCATGGGGTGGAGGTTAGGGAACCAACCTTGTGACCGGAAGGTCGCTGGTTCGATCCCCTGAGCCAACAGTACGTGACTGAAGTGTCTTTGAGCAAGGCGCCTGCTCCCTGGGCGCTGTGGATAGGGCTACCCACTGCTCCAGGCAAGTGTGCTCACTGACCCCTAGTGTGTGTGCTCACTAGTGTGCATGTATGTGGGTTTTTCACTGCACAGATGGGTTAAATGCAGAGGTCTAATTCATCTGTGTGCAAACACAGTAGGCTAATGGTTCTGAATTCTATCTAATTCTAATGTTATAATACATTTAATTTCAGGGACCCCCTAGAATTTCGAATTTGAGACATTTAGGATGGCAAAAAGTTGGGAAAATCTACATCTAGATGCAACACTCCATCTTTAGAGGAATTCTCCTTCGCTGCTTCATTGGAATAAACAAAGGAATATCAGGATTGCTGTCGTCTGTCTACTAAACTTTTTTCACCAAACTAAACTTTTGTAAACTTTTGCCTTTTATGTGTACCGATGGCAAATTAGGGTAAAACCTGAAAAAACACCAAACCACTATGAATGACTTTGTTTACATCTTAATGACTGAATTATGCTGGAATTATGCGGGAAAAAAGAGAATTGGGTGAAATTCTTCTTTTACTAAAACTATTGGAGTTTGTTCAATTTTTAACCATGTAAAATACATCGGCCGACATCACTGGGTATCAGAAATTGTAACTGCTTAAAAATAGTGTTGGTTTTAGTGACAAAAAATTTACACCAGTCCTAGATTGGACAGCTGAAAAAATGTAAAAGAAAAAAAAACGTACAATGTACAAAAACAAATACATGGCGGAAACCACTATGAGGACTATAAACTAATTAATAAGCTGAATCAGGAATGAGGGAAAACACTACACCTTGAAGCGCTCTTATCTTATAAAACTGGAGTTGGGCACCCCAAGCGGATGGTGAACTGCAAAGTTTCTCTCTTAATTATCTCTCACATTCAGAAACATCCGCGTTAACTCACACTCTCAGCTGCCTCTTGGCTCGAATTCACTGCCTGTGCATCACACCCACAGCAAATGAATTACTTTTGCTTCAAAGTCAACTGGGCAATAAACGGAGCAGACTGAAGTGAGCGAGAGGATGAGAGACTTACAGGAAAGTAGAGAAGGAGGGCTCCGAACAAGATGGCCTCCAGCAGGACCAGGCCTGAAGCTCTGATGCTCTGAAAGACAATTGAAAAATTATAATTAAATGCAGGCATGATGACTTATACACTGTAAAAATGGCTCATCAAATCAACTGAATTAAATACTTCATGTAGTGAAGTTAAACTAGTTTTATTCAACTCAACAAATTACATTGATTGAAAGAATCGTTCATTCAAAGTATTTATTTAGGTTGAATAAAACTAGTTAATTTACTTGTTACCACATGAAGTTTTTTTTTTTTTTAGTGTTGATCTAATGATTGAGCCATTTTGATTCTTCAATCTGAAGAATCATTTCAAGGTGCAAAGAACACTTTAATGATGAAAAGGGTTTTTTGAGTGTCCATGGTCCTACATAGAACCATTTTCCTTACTAAAGAACCCTTGAAGAACCACCATTTTTAAGTGTGTAGGCCTAAAGAAAACCAACAACTCAGCCGCTTAGGTGAAAGTCAGTGTGAAAGGGAAATCATCATGCATTTTCCTTTCTGTATCACCTGAGTAAACTATGGTATCAGGGAGTCTCTAAGTGAGCAGAGTGTTTTCTCTCAGTCATATGTGGGGGTGGTGGGGAGGAGGTGAAACGTGATATTATTGGTCAATATTAAACCCCCACTGCTGGTGCACAGTGATGTAATCAAAACTCAGAAGGCACTTTAGACTCATTATACTTTGATGAAAGATTACAGGAAAACAGAATTTTCAGGTGGCACTGCGTGAAAAACAGACATGATTCTGTAGAGGAAATCACTGCATGGGCTCAGGAACACTTCTGAAAACCACTGTCTGTGAACACAGTTTGTTGCTGCATCCACAAATGCAAGTTAAAACTCTAAAATGCAAAGAAGAAACTGTACATAAAAAGGATCCAGAAATGCTGCCACCTTCTCTGGGCCCAAGCTCATTTAAAATAGACTGAAGGTAAGTGGAAAAGTGTCCTGTGGTCCAATGAATCAACATTTGAAATTCTCTTTAGAAATCATGGACGCTGTGTCCTCCGGGCTAAAGGCCACTCAGATTGTTATCATTGCACAGTTTAAAAGCCTGCATCCATGATGGTATAGGGGTGCATTAGTGCACATCTGTAAAGGCACCATTAATGCTGAACGATATATACAGCTTTTGGCAACACATGCCGCCATCCAGATGACGTCTTTTTCAGGGAAGGCCTTGCTTATTTCAGCATGACAATGTCAAACATATTCTACAACAGCATTGCTTCATATTAAAAGAATCCAGGTGCTAAACTGGCTTGTCTGCAGTCTGAACCTCTCACCACTGAAAACATTTGGCGCATTATGAAATGAAAAATATAACAAAAGAGACCCGAACCGTATATCAAGTAAGAATGGGAAAACTTTCCACTTTCAAAACTACAGCAGTGTCTCCTCAGTTCTGAAACGCTTACAGAGTGTTGTTAAAAGAAGAGGTGATGAAACACAGTGGTAAACAGGCCCCCGTCCCAACTTTTTTGGAATGTGTTGTTGGCATCAAATTGAAAATGGGCATATTTTTTTTTTAAATACAATAAAATTTCTCAGTTTCAACATTTGATTTTTTGTCTTTGTACTATTTTCAATGAAATATAGCATTTAAATGATTTGCACATCATTGAATTTTGTTTTTATTTACATTTTGCACAGCGTCACAACTTTTTTGGTAATGGGGTTGTACTTTGAATGAAAGATTCAATGTACATTTTAATATACAATTACTGTTTATTTGCTGACTTTAACTTCCTGGGGAAAAAAAACAATACATAAAGTGTGGCTTATGCAAAAGTTCATTTTAAAACTTTTTAAAAAATTCAACTTAATTAGTCAATTAAACTATACAAATATATGGAAATTGCACACTAAAATTTGTAGAAAAATGCCATTTTTAAGTGGTTTGTTGTTTTGGAATTTTTTTATCATTGAAACTCGATTAATTGTCTAAATAATCAGTAGAATACTCTATTACTAATATAATATCGACAGTCCTAAACTGTTCAATGTTGTTGGCTTTGCTGCTGCCATGATTCCCATTAGAAATGAAGATTTTGTGTTTATTTGGTGGTTGAGAGAGACCAAATAATAGATCTTTCAAGATATTTTTCAGTTGTATTTGAAGTATCAATTTGTATCATTTGTATTTCCTTCTTGTTTCAATGAGAATGGGCCTCCGGTTCTTTTCCTGACCATTCAACTCTGTATCACTACGAGTGAAGGGGCTTTACTAGCAACATGATATACAGGGTCAGCACGACTGCCAGCAAGCACACGACTCATTTCACAACGTCATTAAAGGAAGACGAAGAGGATGATCTACATAGAAGGGAGGCTTGGGCATCTGCCTGCACATCACTGCATTCCCCCTGCACTGCTCCTAATGCACTCCTAATGCAGCTCGAACATTAGAGCTGAATCACTTCTACGCCCCACAGGCTAATGCCTTCTCTGTGAATAGAGCGCTCTGTGCCTCTCTCTTTTATGTGAGAGCTCCTGAATAATATGATTGAGCAGAAGCAACTGCAGGGCACGCAACGGTGGACGTGAATAGATTTCCACGTCGCGTAGCCGTGTTCCAATATCCACGAGATAGAAAATGGCATCAAAAATAAACACCAAGCACTAGACTCCGGATTATGGCCGGGAACTCAGGCGTGTTTCACAGAGAGAGAAAAGCTTTTCCTCATACATTGCTAAGGCAGATTTGCTCCCCCTTCAGAAGAAGGTAAATGAGAATATTTTTTTCAGTGGTAACAGGTGTCCAAGACCTGCCAGCTGCTCTGCAATCAAACGGCTGACAAGAGCGCTGACAGCAAGGGCTGAAACGGAAACAGAATGCTCAATCCGAAACCTGTCCGCTTCGGTTAGGCTTCGCCCGACGTCCCCGTAGATCTTTCTCAGATGCCGCCGAACCGAACCCCATGCTGAAGGAATTTGAATGCTGCTGGGACTAGCAAAACACACAGCACCCAAATATTCATAGTCTAATTTGAAATGTCAGCTGAAGGATATTTGACTCTATGCACAGCCCCTATAAGCCACTATACAGGGTGATTCAAAAGGATTCATCTGATTTCAAAGCGCCATATTTTACAACCATGAGGTGCCTAGGAACCAATCACATACCAATTGAAAGAGGGGTTCATAGAGTTTGACTGTCACTGGAAGATGGCTCCCTTCAGTCTGAGAGGAGATGAGACCCCTGAGCAGAAAGCGTTCTGGGTTCTCCACTTCAATAAGAGTGAATCCGTCATAACTGTGCAGAGTGATTTTCATCGGGAGTGAACCTGGCGTTGATGTCCTTACAGCTGGAGGAGGTTCGTACTGAGTACTTGTACAATTACATAATAAACTTTATGCTCCTTTAAACCATTTACAGTTCACTGCACTGTTCTGTAATGATTTACAAGGGATATAAATCATTTTGAAATCGGATGAATCTTTTTGAATCACCCTGTATAACCTTCAGGAATAGGTGTAGTTTCCTCTGGACGACCTTTCACAATCCCTTACTTGTTGTGCCCTTGTTTCCTAGTCCATGTGCTTTTGTTGTGTTAGCTCCTCCCCTGTTCTGCCATATGTTCAGCCCACACCTGTTTCTTGTTCTTAGCTCCGCCCCATCATTGTTCTCAGCTGTCTCTCGTCTCTCGTCTTCGTATATTTATACCCCTTGTTTTAGTTGAGTTTTTGCTTGGCATTGAATGTGAATGTGTGTTTGTTCGTTCTGTATTGTTCATAGATTACTTGTATCTTTGCTGTTATGTTGCTGTTTTAGTTTTGCCTCGTGGTTCTGTTTCATTTCTTGTTTGTTTCCTCGTGTTCTTGTTTATTGCTCCTGTCTCTGCCATGGACGTCAATAAAGTCAACTCGCACCTGCATCCAGCCTCATCTTCTCCTGCCCAACATTACATTTTTCACATGCACTTTAGTATGAAATGAATGCCACAACTATTCCATGATCCATTTAGTTACACTGCAGTTTTGTGTTATAATTCTGACATCAACGAAAAAATAAGCAGTACAAAATACAGCTAGCGCAGAAGCATCTCATACACTGCAATAATACAGCATTTAAATCTGTTATTTTAGGAAAATAGTCAAACTATACAATCACACCATTGTATCGTCTTAAAGACCACTAAGCCATTTTGTTTATTTCACATTTTATTCTTTCCAGTGGTTGTGATTTTAACAGTATAACGTTTGATCAGTAGGGGGAGCAGTGCTCAACCTCAAACTCTGCCTATGAGTACAGCCATTGGCTCACAAGATGCTAACTGCTGTCATTTTATTGGGTTCCTTCTGAAACATCTGCATGAATGAGGATGTGCTTCATGTAAATAACATGTGAAAGAGGTTCTGGTATGCTTGCATTTGATTTTACAAGCTTATTCATCATTTGCACTGCTTGTTTCCATGTTGTACGAAGCCTTCAGGAATCAGACGCAGAGTAGTTCACACATCATTAAAAGAGGTCAAATCTGCACTCTTTTTACACAACTTTGTTGAATGTGGGTCAATGTCTTTGACTTTGTACTTATAAATAAGAAAAGGTATGTATTCATAAACACAACATATGTTTTGCAACATGCTCTCACACTAATGATAAGGAAGGCAAAAGAGGAGCCAGCAGTCACTTGAAAAGAGTTAGAGGACAACCTGAAAGCAGTAGGAACAATTACTTATAGAACAATGAGCATCAAACTGTACCACAATCATCTCCGTTACTACACTCCACACAATAACTGCTCAGATAAGGAAGAAGTACAGACTTGTGTGTTGTTACAATGCCCAGTTGTAATAGCCTTTATTTGTGTCTGTCTGCAGCCATTTTGTGTGTCCCTTCTGTTGTTCTATTATGTGCAGGTATGTGATTGGACATTCAGGGGCACCCTTCTATATGTAAGAGGTCACCAAGCCATGACCTGGGCTCTCTCCCTGCTAACATGACCTGGAACTACACCTGACCAACCTGGCAATCTTCACTTCACTTCATTCTGCCTTGCTTTGCTTCGATTGTTACAT